GTGTTAGTTTCAAGTTTCCAGCAAGGGTAGTCGTTATAAGGGGAACATGTGACTAACTGGGTTAACTGTGTTAGCCTGCTGAGCTACGGGACAGATCGAAATTTACTGAGCGGAGGGGTGGTCCAAAATAGGGGAGGGTTGTGAAACTTTTTGGGGGGCTTTGGGGAGGGTTGTGTGTTTTTTTAATTAGGCACAGGGGAGGGTAGTGTGTTTTTCCCTAGTTTACATTTGCTCTTCTGCTCGTATTTTCCCTATAAAAAAGGACTTACTTTGATGTTACCCTAATAAAGTTTAGAAACGTTTGTGAAGATTTGGTATGGTGTGGCTATTATTAAGCTTTACCTACTTCAGGCCTAAGATGCACTACATTACCAAACGTATGTGGACACCTGCTCGTCGAACATCTCATTCCAAAATCATTGGCATTAATATGGAGTTGGCCCCACCCTTTGCTGCTATAACAGCCTCCACTCTTCTGGGAAGGCTTTCCACTAGATGTTGGAACATTGCTGCGGGGACTTGCTTCCATTCGGCCACAAGAGCATTAGTGAGGTCGGGCACTGATGTTGGGCAATTAGGCCTGGCTCGTAGTCGGCACTGTCGCTGTCCTCCTCTGCTCTCTCGGCCGGCGGCTCCAACCCAGCTCCATCGGCTCGGAATCCGAGTCGTCCGGGGTGGAAACGGGCAGACCCCTACCAGGACGTCCTCTGGCTGCCAGCAGGTTGTCCAAACAAATGGCCATGTCCACCAGTGTATTGAAGGACAACATTATGTCCCGGCAGACTAGCTCCCGTCGGACGTCCTCCCACAAATGGCACCGGAAATGGTCGTTCCACCCGGGCCCCGCTGCCGGCCTGATGCTGGAGAAGTACAGGTCCATTTGGAGGAGGAATCCCTGGCACAGCGCCGCCGTCCCATCAAACGCCCGTGGTCGGGATATCTGGATCCCTCCGGGTGCTGGGGTGTAGGTGGCTGGATCCGGTTGGCCAGCTGGTCTCGACAGATCGGGTCCTCTCCTCTCCAGGCGTTGGACGACCTGAAGAACCCGATCCATCGCTTCCCCCAAGCTGGCCAGCATCATGGAATGCTCCTGGACCCATGCCACGACTCCAGGCATGCGCTCTTCTCCCGCTGACTCCATAGCGGGTGGGTGATTCTGTGATGAGTGTGATGGAAAGGAGTCAGGCGCAGGAGGGTAATCACTGAATACAGAGTTTATTCCTTCGTAGACACACAAACGCCGAAGCCTGCCCGAACAAGGAGGGGAGGCAGCCTCGGCCGAAGTCGTGACATCAATACTGTGTGTGCCAAGTCTATAGCTGGCCCAAAATGTTTAAATTTGGGATAGTGATATCCTCCCATACTGTACAGTGCATTCGGAAAGTATTCAGACCCCTTGACCTTTTTACATTACAGCCTTATTCTAAAATGGATTAAATTAAATTGTATCCTCATCAATCTACATACAATACCCCATAATGACAAAGCAAAAACAGGTTTTTAGAATTTTTGTAAGTTTATAAAAAAGAAAGAAAAAAGAAATACCTTATTTACATAAGTATTCAGACCCTTTGTTATGAGACTTGAAATTGAGCTCAGGTGCATCCTGTTTCCATTGATCATCCTTGAGATGTTTCTACAACTTAACTGCAGTCCACCTGTGGTTAATTCAATTGATTGGACATGATTTGGAAAGGCACACACCTGTCTCTATATAAGGTACCACAGTTGACAGTGCATGTCAGAGCAAAAACCAAGCCATGAGGTCGAAGAAATTGTCTATAGAGCTCCGAGACATGATTGTGTCAAGGCACAGATCTGGGGAAGGTTACTAAAAAATGTCTGCAGCATTGAAGGTCCACAAGAACAGTGGCCTCCATCATTCTTAAATGGAAGAAGTTTGGAACCACCAAAACTCTTCCTAGAGCTGGCCGCCCGGCCAAACTGAGCAATCGGGGGAGAAGGGCCTTGGTCAGGGAGGTGACCAAGAACTCAATGGTCACTCTAACAGAGCTCCAGAGTTCCTCTGTGGAGATGGGAGAACCTTCCAGAAGGACAACCATCTCTGCAGCATTTCACCAATAAGGCCTTTATGGTAGAATGGCCAGATGGAAGTCACTCCTCAGTAAAAGGCACATGACTGCCTGCTTGGAGTTTGCCAAAAGGCACCTAAAGACTCTCAGACCATGAGAAACAAGATTCTCTGGTCTGATGAAACCAAGATTGAACTCTTTGGCCTGAATGCCAAGCTTCACGTCTGGAGGAAACCTGGCACCATCCCTACGGTGAAGCATGTTGGTGGGAGCATCATGCTGTGGGATGTTATTCAGTGGCAGGGACTGGGAGACTAGTCAGGATCGAGGGAAAGATGAACGGAGCAAAGTACAGAGAGATCCTTGATGAAAACCTGCTCCAGAGCGCTCAGGACCTCAGACTGGGGAGAAGGTTCACCTTCCAACAGGACATCGACCCTAAGCACTTAACCAAGACAACGCAGGAGTGGCTTTGGGACAAGTCTCTGAATGTCCTTCAGTGGCCCAGCAGAGTCCGGACTTGAACCAGATCAAACATCTCTGGGGAGATCTGAAAATAGCTGTGCAGCGACACTCCCCATCCAACCTGACAGAGCTTGAGAGGATCTGCAGAGAAGAATGGGAGAAACTCCCCAAATATAGGTGTGCCAAGCTTGTAGCGTCATACCCAAGAATACTTGAGACTGTAATCACTACCAAAGGTTCTTCAACAAAGTACTGAGTAAAGGGTCTGAATACTTGAACCAAAATTGTGGAAAAATATCAACAATCTCAAGGTTACAAGTCCATCTCCAGAGATCTAGATGTTCCTTTGTCCACAGTGCGCAACATGATCAAGAAGTTTGCAACCCATGGCACTGTAGCTAATCTCCCTGGACGTGGACGGAAGAGAAAAATTGATGAAAGGTTGCAACGCAGGATAGTCCGGATGGTGGATAAGCAGCCCCAAACAAGTTCCAAAGAAATTCAAGCTGTCCTGCAGGCTCAGGGTGCATCAGTGTCAGCGCGAACTATACGTCGAAATTTGAATGAAATGAAACGCTATGGCAGGAGACCCAGGAGGACCCCACTGCTGACACAGAGACATAAAAAAGCAAGACTACAGTTTGCCAAAATGTACATGAGTAAGCCAAATTCCTTCTGGGAGAACGTCTTATGGACAGATGAGACCAAGATAGAGCTTTTTGGTAAAGCACATCGTTCTACTGTTTACCGAAAATGTAATGAAGCCTTCAAAGAAAAGAACACAGTACCTACAGTCAAATATGGTGGAGGTTCAAAGATGTTTTGGGGTTGTTTTGCTGCCTCTGGCACTGGGTGCCTTGACTGTGTGCAAGGCATCATGAAATCTGAGGATTACCAAAGGATTTTGGGTCGCAATGTAGGGCCCAGTGTCAGAAAGCTGGGTTTGCGTCCGAGATCATGGGTCTTCCAGCAGGACAATGACCCCAAACATACTTCAAAAAGCACCCAGAAATGGATGGCAACAAAGCGCTGGAGAGTTCTGTAGTGGCCAGCAATGAGTCCAGATCTTAATCCCATTGAACACCTGTGGAGAGATCTTAAAATTGCTGTTGGGAAAAGGCACCCATCCAATATGAGAGACCTGGAGCAGTTTGCAAAAGAAGAGTGGTCCAAAATTCCGGGTGAGAGGTGTAAGAAGCTTATTGATGGTTATAGGAAGCGACTGATTTCAGTTATTTTTTCCAAAGGGTGTGCAACTAAATATTAAGTTAAGGGTTGTAAATTTGATATTTCGGTTTTTTATTTTTTATACATTTGCTAAAATTTCTAAAAACCTGTTTTTGCTTTGTCATCATGGGGTATTGTGTGTAGATTGATTTAAAAGAAAATCAAATTCCATTTTAGAACAAGGCTGTAACGTAACAAAATGTGGAAAGAATCAAGGGGTCTGAATACTTTCCAGCCAGGTATGCTCATCTCCCTGACTGTCCATAAGAAGTCAGCAACACACTTCTGTGGAGGCCACCAGTATCTAGAGGGACGTTTCCTGAGTACCAGCTCAACCTACCTTAGTACACCGATACTGACTGTGTGTACCAGCTGCAGTAGTGCCAATCAGTGATGTAGTGGTACGGATTTTTTTGGGGGGGGTTAAACGGTGATCGTCATTTGTGGTGAGTAACGTAACGCTCCCTATATTTTCAATGTATTTTACTCCAATAGATAGGCATTGACGTGCGTTTTACCTCCACTACACTACTGGTGCCAACTGTATAGGAGAAAGGCTATGTAAGTAAACATGGGAAGTTATCAACATCAGTGGATCTATTATGAATTTGGTGAGATGTGTATGTACTGTTTGCAGGAAAGGTTATCCCTAAATTGATGGGTCTTTTGCTGATGCAGTTTGCTTTAAATGTTTTGGCGTTCTTGTGAGAGTTCTTATGGACAGCTGTAATTGCAGTCTGATTTGTTCTTTAAATATTGACAATTAAAAGTTCAATATAAAAAATTGTAAGATGAATCTTCACTTCAATTAATTGTATTATTTAATTTATCATTATCTTCACATAACATTGTACATTGTAGACAGTCTATTATAGGCAATCACATTCTATAATGAAAATACCTTTGAAGGTTAGTACATTTCATGATGATTGTGCATAATCTAGAAGACATACAACAGGTGGAGTGGATGGATTGATTAATACAGTGTGTGATAAACATAGAGATCCTATGAAATTTCTTGAGGGGCAATGTAATAAACCCTCAAAGTTCCAGAATGGGATGATAATGGCAGTCATTGTAGTAAAATAAAATTGGAATGAATTTCAGTAGAGGCATAGGTGATGCATTTCCTGTTTTTACTTATCCAGGAAAATAAAAGTAAGGTATGTGATGTATCAGAAATTGTGTAATAGAATTGTCAACCTAAATATTGTCATATAATTATAAATACATAATAATAATAAAAATATGTAAACAGACCACAAATGTCTCAGTGTTTGTTTTCTTGGAAAGCTGTGAATCTTATAATATAATACAATATCAGTTACACATTTGTCTAAGTCATATCACCAACTGATTTCAGACTGTGGATTGACTGCATTGTTTGTTTGGAATGTCGGCATATTGGCAGTTATTTAGAAAAAAATGATGGAATCATTCTACTAAAACTGGCAGGATAGCTAGCTAATAAACATTACTGTGCATATAATTTTCAAATTCATTGTTTTAAACAATATCTTATCACAGCACTTGCTGACCATTGTGGTTGACCAACTCCTTTACCAAAATGGCTGACCTTTTATACCGTCATAAGAACGTTCATGTCCATTCTAGTATTCTAATTCCATGTTGATAAAGCTCTCTTGATAACCATTCAATTAATATAAATGTACATACACTTTAGAGAGAGATATCATTAAAACTGAAAAAAAGGATTCATACACATACTACTCTAAAAGTAATGTCACCATATCACATTTATCCATTAACATTGTAACATGTAAGGTAATAAAGACTCTAGATACAATACATCTTCCGGGTGTCTTCATGCGAAACAAGGGGTCGTATAGGTGATGAGGCCAGTCTGTAGATGGAACCGCTTGAATGCCTGAAAGCAGAATTAAACATCAATACATTACACATGGCACATCCTGTGACAAGAGAGAGGTCAAGGAGAGTTGAACTCTGTTAGATGTAAATGTGCAAATATCCATGACAAGCCTCGATCCTACAATAATTGCCTCTCCACTTGCTTGATGCTTGAATCTGCTTGAATTGTGTGTATAGAATAGAATAGAGTAACATTTTTCCAGAAGGAACTTCAGTTATGGCAAGTCGGATAAGATAAGATAGACACAGATACAATATATATACAAAAGTATGTGGACACCCCTTCAAATTACTGGATTCGGCTATTTCAGACACATCCATTGCTGACGTGTATCAAATCGAGCACACAACCATGCACTCTCCATAGACAAACATTGGCAGTAGAATGGCCTTACTGAAGAGCTCAGTGACTTTCAACTTGACACAGTCATAGGATGCTACCTTTACAACAAGTCAGTTCATCAAATGTCTGCCCTGCTAGAGCTGCCCCGGTCAACTGTAAGTGATGTTATTGTGAGGAACCGTCTAGCAGCAACAATGGCCCAGCCGTGAAGTGGTAGGCCACACAAGCTCACAGAACGGGACCACCGAGTGCTGAAGCGTGTACAAATCGTCTGACCTCGGCCAAGCAGCCGCACACAAGCCTAAGATCACTATGCGCAATGCCAAGCGTCGGCTGGAGTGATGTAAAGCTCACCACCATTGGACTCTGGAGCAGTGGAAATGCGTTCTCTGGAGTGATGAATCACGCTTCACCATCTGGCAGTCCGACAGACGAATCTGGGTTTGGCGGATGCCAGGAGAACGCTACTTGTCCGAATGCATAGTACCAACTGTAACGTTTGGTGGAGGAGGAATAATGGTCTGGGGCTGTTTTTCACGGTTGGGGCTAGGCCCTTTAGTTCCAGTGAAGGGACATTTTAACGCTACATCATACAATGACATTCTAGACGATTATTTGTTTCCAACTTCGTGGCAAAAGTTCGGGGAAGGCCTTTTCCTGTTTCAGCATGACAATGCCCCCGTGCACAAAACGAGGTCCATACAGAAATGGTTTGTCGAGATCGGTGTGGAAGAACTTGACTGGCCTGCAGAGAGCCCTGACCTCAACCCCATCGAACACCTTTGGGATGAATTGGAACACCGACTGCAAGCCAGGCCTAATCGCCCACTAATGCGCTTGTGGCTGAATGGAAGCAAGTCCCCGCAGTGATGTTGCAACATCTAGTGGAAAGCCTTCCCAGAAGAGTGGAGGCTGTTATAGTAGCAAAGAGGGAACAACTCTATATTAATGCCCATGATTTTGGAATGAGATTTGACGAGCAGGTGTCCACATACTTTTGGTCATGTAGTGTATATTGTAAACATATTAACATCGACATTCACACATGACAGATACAAACGCTTACACGGTATATAAAATATAAATGTAAGGGACCGTTCTAAAATTATCCAATTCGAGATGTCCTAAAAAAAATGCACCCCCACCCCCCCTCCCCAACGTTCCATTTTTTTTCACATGACCCTCCCCTTGTACTTGAAAAAAATTACAATACCCTCCACCTTATTAGAATTAACTCAAAAGAATGATTATGACAACAGTAACAGTTACAAAGTAGGCCTACCTTACTACTACGACCAGCGGGTGAAAAGAAGGGTCCTGGAAAAAAAAATGACTTTTATAAACAGATTTCATGCTATTCTAGTCATTTTACATTACTGAAGACATTAGCAGAATGTATTCTTTTAATACCACAGTTTTTCTGAGATATTAGTCGGCGGACCAGAACATAAAATAATAGCAGCCCAATTTATAGACCTACACTATTTTTTACACATCTGGTTAGCACATAATCAATTCAATGACAATAACATAATAATTTAGATAAAATCACCAATGTCTCTAACAAATGAGTTGTCTTTCTTGGTACGCTACTATTTATTAGCTCAAAACAATCAGCTTGCTTGCAAGAGAAAATGTTGCTCTCAAAAAGTCCCAAAAGAAAGGCAGATTTTGAAAATAGACGTTGCAGGGAAGAGATATGCGTTCATCTTACCACATTTCCCCATGCCAAACCAGTGTGATTCTAAGCATTGTAGCCTACTTTCAAAAGTTACCTTTCCACCCCAGACAGAGGTCCGACACAGAACAATTTAAGCTTTAACTGCTGGATACTCTTCCGTGGCTTAACCCAAAAAGAGAACATCACAAGTGAGTCCCTAAAAGCTGCCTGGGTTTAAAGACCCAGTGCAGTCAAAATTATGTTTTCCTGTGTTTTGTATCATATTGTACAACAGTTGATGAAACAAACACTGTAAAAGTCTGAAAAAATGTGATCAGTGTTATTTCCTGATAGTTGCTGGTTGAAAAAACAATCTACACAGGACCTTCTAATCAGCAGGTTTGCATGGGCAGGAGTTTCGGCTTTCCATGGTGACATCACCATGCGGTAAATTGGTTAATAGAACAATAACAAAGAGAGTTCCAAACCTTTCTGCCAATAACAGCTAGTTTTCAGTTTTACCCTCCCCACGCAGACCACTCTTAGACAGTCCTAGCAAAATCCTTGCTTTAGAAATAGTATTTTTTGCTAAAAAGCAATTTTTGCCAATTTTAATGGAAATATATTACCGTAAGGTACTTAATTGTTACCCAAAATTATATTCATATAAAAACTGTTGGGCCTTTAAACATCTTCTCTTTAACAGAAAGTGAATAGCTCAATTGATAGTGATGGAGTTACACATTGTAGGCCTATTTGATTAAAGGAGATCAGGGAACCAAGTAACGCTTTTAGGCTTTTGCTTATTATGAAAATATTATTTGAGTTAGATTAATAATATTGTTATACAAACAACTTACATATCTCAGCTACCATTACACACTGTAACTATGTTTCCAGATCATACCAGTCATTTACAATTCAACCCGAAAGTGGCGGGAGTGAAATGTTACAATTGACCCAGTATGTCAATGTAACACTGTCTTAAATGGTAAAAAGATTATAATTTGAAACTGATATTTCAATGGTAATACACTAAATTGACAACAAATATTAAAAATATTTCCATTTTATCTTTTAGGCATGTCATATTGACCAAAAACTCAAAATTTACCAACATTTATATTAGCATTCAAAAGTATGAATTTGACTTTTTATTGTATTTTTCTAAGGTATTATCTTAGTTGTACTGCTAAACTTGATGTAAAGAAGTGACATTTTATATCATGATGTGAATGTGTCTAAATACAATATAAGGTTTTGCGTTACATCTAACCCCCCACATAGGAGCCTATACTAATCTGAATCTTTTGACAAAAATAAAACAATTATTGTCATCAACTATACCAATCAAAAGACCCCATCTTACTGATACAAATTATATATGTTTAGATACATGTAGAATGTTCCACAGGTCAATAATTTAAAAAAGAGAGGCAGCAAGTATATTTACATGTTTTCATTCCAATAAAATAAAAAATAATTGATGGATTTAAACAAAACTTCTTAGGCATGTAGACACTAACCAAACATTAGCACATTGAATAACAGCTTTCTAAGTGGTTTCTAATTTGAGTTATTAAGCTGTTATAACTGACCTGTGTTACTTTGTTCCCCAGTCTCCCCTACGTCCCAAGGAAAGTCTTCTTTTTTTTTAACTTCTCGGCTATAGAACTTCATGGCTCAGCCTCTGAATGCCACAGAGACGAACCAAAGATATCCCCATATGCATCAGAGACGGAACTTTCTTGTGTAGCTTGCTTCTAGCATAGAGCATAGTGGAGGAAAGCGTCATTATAAATCGCTTTATATAATCAGAATCCGTTTTAGTTTCTTAAAAATCTTAAACTAACAAGGACTATGCTTTTTGACATTTTCTTTGACAAAAAGTAGGCTATGGCATACCCTCACAAAGCCCTATCCCCTCAATTCGAGCACTGGTTTTAACTTAACACACAAAGCCCTTCACGGACACAGAGGTATTTAAGGAGTGGTGACATTATTGGAGGAATTGGCAGACAAATCTTTGGATAGCCTACAAGACTGTTGAAATTAATTACTTTAATTAGGCTAATTTCAGCACCATGTGCTGTCCACCTCCCGATTGATTGCGCCACAGCTGCCGCTTCACGTTTCAGCACCACAAAGCTGTCATGGAAGTTACTCGAATCTGGCTTACTGAGAAGTCAATAACTCTGATAAAAAGCCTTAAAAATATCAAAAGTGCGAGTGTGGCGAATATGAGCCCGGAGCCGACTGCGGCAACCCATGTGGGTACTGTGGCGTAGGGTAGTGAATAAGGAAAGCACCAAAACCCTTTGATAGGGAAGGCGCATGAAAGCAGATGGGAAAAGTTGCCTAAAATTTAATAAATTATATAGGAAAACCAGCAAAACGGCGAATGTAAAAAAACGCACTACCCTCCCCTGTGCCCAATAAAATCCACACAACCCTCCCCAAAGCAAAAAAAAAGGTTACACCCCTCTCCCCTATTTTGTAACACCCCTCCCCCCTGTATTTTTTCGAACTGTCCCTAAGTCACAAAAACAATTTTACTTCAAAAATAAACGTAAGTCACACAAATCAATTTTCATTTAAAAGCCATACTGATGCTGGTACACAACTGTTAGTGGCTCTGTTGTTTTTATGAGGTAAACACCCGAGTCTGCGCCCTGATGGCAGTACTGCATATTGATTGTTCAGTGGATGCGTTAGATCCAAAATTATTTCTTTACCCCTCTTACACATTTGCCATCTTTATACAGTGGGGAGAACAAGTATTTGATACACTGCCGATTTTGCAGGTTTTCCTACTTACAAAGCATGTAGAGGTCTGTAATATTTATCATAGGTACACTTCAACTGTGAGAGGCGGGATCTAAAACAAAAATCCAGAAAATCACATTGTATGATTTTTAAGTAATTAATTTGCATTTTATTGCATGATATAAGTATTGGATCACCTACCAACCAGTAAGAATTACGGCTCTCACAGACATGTTAGAGCTCCTGTTCTCCACTCATTACCTGTATTAACTGCACCTGTTTGAACTCGTTACCTGTATAAAAGAAAAGACACCTGTCCACACACTCAATCAAACAGACTCCAACCTCTCCACAATGGCCAAGACCAGAGAGCTGTGTAAGGACATCAGGGATAAAATTGTAGACCTGCACAATGCTGGGATGGGCTACAGGACAATAGGCAAGCAGCTTGGTGAGAAGGCAACAACTGTTGGCGCAATTATTAGAAAATGGAAGAAGTTCAAGATGACGGTCAATCACCCTCGGTCTGGGGCTCCATGCAAGATCTCACCTCGTGGGGCATCAATGATCATGAGGAAGGTGAGGGATCAGCCCAGAACTACACGGCAGGACCTGGTCAATGACCTGAAGAGAGCTGGGACCACAGTCTCAAAGAAAACCATTAGTAACACACTACGCCGTCATGGATTAAAATCCTGCAGCGCACGCAAGGTCCCCCTGCTCAAGCCAGCGCATGTCCAGGCCCGTCTGAAGTTTGCCAATGACAATCTGGATCATCCAGAGGAGGAATGGGAGAAGGTCATGTGGTCTGATGAGACAAAAATAGAGCTTTTTGGTCTAAACTCCACTCGCCGTGTTTGGAGGAAGAAGAAGGATGAGTACAACCCCAAGAACACCATCCCAACCGTGAAGCATGGAGGTGGAAACATCATTCTTTGGGGATGCTTTTCTGCAAAGGGGACAGGACGACTGCACCGTATTGAGGGGAGGATGGATGGGGCCATGTATCGCGAGATCTTGGCCAACAACCTCCTTACCTCAGTAAGAGCATTGAAGATGGGTCGTGGCTGGGTCTTCCAGCATGACAACGACCTGAAACACACAGCCAGGGCAACTAAGGAGTGGCTCCGTAAGAAGCATCTCAAGGTCCTGGAGTGGCCTAGCCAGTCTCCAGACCTGAACCCAATAGAACATATTTGAAGGGAGCTGAAAGTCTGTATTGCCCAGCGACAGCCCCGAAACCTGAAGGATCTGGAGAAGGTCTGTATGGAGGAGTGGGCCAAAATCCCTGCTGCAGTGTGTTCAAACCTGGTCAAGACCTACAGGAAACGTATGATCTCTGTAATTGCAAACAAAGGTTTCTGTACCAAATATTAAGTTCTGCTTTTCTGATGTATCAAATACTTATGTCATGCAATAAAATGCAAATTAATTACTTAAAAATCATACAATGTGATTTTCTGGATTTTTGTTTTAGATTCCGTCTCTCACAGTTGAAGTGTACCTATGATAAAAAATTACAGACCTCTACATGCTTTGTAAGTAGGAAAACCTGCAAAATCGGCAGTGTATCAAATACTTGTTCTCCCCACTGTAAATGTCTCTGAGAGCCTTTTGGTTTCTCCCTACAATCTTACCACTGACCTGCACCACTCTTTCTAGGTTATTCTGACTTGCACATGTGAGGGAGCCAAACGAGGCAACTACACTATGCTTACTTTGGCTTGCTGATAAAGTTTTATCTCATGACAAACCTGGGTTATTCTGCCACTTGCACACCTGCACAGTTATCTTTACTCTCCGAGGCTATAGCTAAATATTCTGCATTCCTGGAAAGAAAGGAGAAAGATAGATATGGTTAGAATATCATCATCTGCTTATTCATCCATCCATTCACCCTTTATTCATCTATCTATCCATCTACAGTATAACCATTCTTGCCACTCATCACTTAAAGCATTTCAATAATTTCAACTACACTGCATATCTCCTACTATTCCTATGTTTATTCCAATCTTTTAACCTCTCTTAATCTATTCATTAATCCCTTTAACCTCTCTTTATGAATCCACTTACCCCTCTAACCTTTCTTTACCCATCCAACAACCCCTCTAACCTTCATTCATTACTCCATCCTTTTTTCATCCATCCATAACTTCCTTTATCCTTCCATCAAGCAATCATCCATCCAACTTAAGTAACCAGACCTATTGCTTTAATGTAGCGATGCAAAGCAAGCAGTGTCAGCTGAGCTAACATCCAATCAGAGACTGAACATCATTTGTTTAAGGGCCGCTTATTCAGTTTGGCCATTCAGCAAGCATCATCGCTTGCAACTGCTGCTCTTTTGCCCCAGCCTCCACCTGCTTATGGTTTGGTTCTTTTGTCTCTGCTCCCTACCTTTAGTTTGGTTTTGATCTTATAAAAATACTGAGCACTTTCCCCACATGGGTAGCACAGCCTAAACGCCAAGGCCAAATGTATTATCATTCACATTTTATGTTCAATGAAATGTGATGTCAGCAAAATACATTAGTTCTCTTGACAACACTATATTTAACTCCTTCAACTTCTGTTCAGCTTGAATTCTACATGACCCTTTAAGCTATTTTTAAGTTTCCCACAACTACAAAGCACTTCAAGACTGCTGAGGCAAGCACACACATTTTCTTCAGGAAATGTACCTTCTTTGGCTTTTCTAGAGTGGCAAATGTGATGATTGCGAGACACAAGGATGGAAAGAGTGAGAGAGAATGGGAGTGGCAAGGAAGATGAAGATAGAACGAAAGAGAATATTGAACAAGGAAGAACAGAGGAATTGCACTACTCAGCACTATGGAAGAGAGAGGAGAGAACTCAAATCAACAGGATGGACAGGTACAGAGCATACAAGAAAGGGAGGACAGTGAGATTACTGTATATGGAGGGAGACATTAATAGAGGAGGACCTAAAATGAAAGGATACAGCTGCAGGAGAGGAAGTAGGGTTACAGTGTTACTTACGCGCTTTCTCGTAATGCTTCCTCTCCTGCAGCTGAGATCTTTCTGTAGCAGTATACCATCTCTATGTAGAGCCAAGCCTGTAGCCCGATGATGGACACGTACATCATCACCTCAGAGACTATGGAGGCCGTCCCTCTGGTGGCTATAGAGACAGAGAGAGAGAGCGGGAGTCAAAGCACTCAAAAGGCACCACAGAGGCTCTTACAAAGCACTTTCTGAATAGAATTTCAGGTCATAAATGTTTTCTAACAATAGGGATAATTGACATCGGAATTCCAATTGCATGCAAAGCCATTAGTCTGTATAGTAATACTGAACCTTTAGCCACCACTGTCAGGTGCACAACCTTGCTGACAACGGTCTGGTATTCGTAGAAATCATACGTCAGGAGCCGGTGGAAGAAGCAACGGTAGGTGCCCGAGTCGTTAAAGGTGACATTGAATAGGTAGATGGACGCATCCTGTATGTCATTGCTCTGCTTACTGCCGCTCCAATCCACACGGTCCTCAAAGCGCTCATCCACAATGTGCTGGCCCTCCTCATCGTAATTATATATCTAATGACACATTGACATCTGTATTATTCACCTGGCACTGAAAATCTCTCCGGTTTCACTTCCTAGATCGCGACTCGTAGCTGGTAACATCCAAGAAAATGGACTCAACAGGATGCAACTGTGTTTTGAAAGGGGTTCCAGTAGGAAAGTATACTCAAGGTTACATAGCTGTGAGCTATGCACTATCTGCCCATCTGCTGTCCCAGTGGCTCTTATGATCTCTGAGGGCTAAAATGTCATCCAGATTGATTCCATCTAAACTGCACACAGCTCTCTGCCATATCATGTGGTTGGGCATTGTGTGTGTGTGCATACCTTTGTGCGTTGTGCCTTGTGGTTGTGTGCTTAGGGATGGGCTCTGGGCAAAGTGGATTAAGATAGGTTTGCCTAGAGCAGGGTTTCCCAAACTTGTTCCTGGGGCCCCTCTGGGTGAACATTTTGGTTTTTGCCCTAGCACTACACAGCTGATTCAAATAATCAAAGCTTTATGATGAGTTGGTTATTTGAATCAGCTACGGCAACAATAAAATAACGTGCACCAGGACTGAGTTTGGGAAACCCTGGTCTAAAGGACTATGTAAACCTAACCCTAGCCATTTTAAAAAGCACTGGCATACTCTAAACAGACTGCAGACTATAGTGGAAAGCATGTTTTGTGTGGGCACCAGAACAAACAAAACCCCAAACCTAATCCTACAATCTACTACCGTGGCAGTAATTTGGAATACTATAGCAATCCTAATCAGTCTCAGATACTCACATGAGCAAAGTCAGCTTCCCCTTTGGCTTTGAAATACCAGTCGACTGTGGCAGAAGCTTCCACCTCGGGCCTCATCTTACAGGAGATGCAGCCCAGTTTGAACCCTTTGCCTGCAACGGCCTCAGTGTCCGAGTCCACCTCTGCACACGCCCCATGAGACAGGGGCACTTGTTTACAGGAGAGAGAAGAGTTGTTATTAGCGCTTTATTTTGATTGTAGAAATGGGTAGCTTCATAATTCAACAGTATACAGACAAATATCCATATTTTGAAAGATGTTGTGACTATCCACAAACGTTCAATCTACACATGTGGTTAACTCACATACCAAAGAGGGCACAAAGCAGAGACAGGAGCAGCAGCCGCACAGCAGACATGTCCTCGGGTGTAATGTAGCAACAAAAGTACAGACGCTAGGGCCGAGAAGCCTCAAAACGTATCAAAAAATATCCCAACAGTCTCTTTGAACACTTGAGAGTAAGATATTCCTTTGAGATGTTAAACAGAAATAAGTTGTTTGAGCAAAGTAAGAAATGGTACGGACTGAAGTTGCTTCCTCCGAAATGACCTTGGAAATAACAAAAATAGGAGTCCTTCAATAATACATTTGATGTGTGTTTATTCCTTCAACCAACACTTATTTTCTAATGGAATAAATCTTCTCATCAGACTATTGCATTAATTAATTGACTTGTTACATAGGCTACTGTTTTGATAGGCTTTTCATTCACAATAGGCTTTTTCATTCACTTTGAGGATACATGCAAGTATTTACCATGAATATTTGTTTAAAATGTTAATGTTTTAGGAAGACTCTGGAGCTTGATGATTTCAATTAAATATAATGTGCCTTTAAGTGGATGCTTCATCACTCTATTAAAGTGCAAACTAATAAAGGCCAATAGTCCAAGGAGAGACTTTCTAGAGAACAAGCAGAATACAGGGTAAGAGTCCTAATCTAATAAGTAGACCTATTTAAAAGCCTCCCTTAAAAGGATTGTTGCAGCCAATATACTATTTTTCTTTTTTACATTTAAATGTAAACTAAAACTGCTTCAGTTCTTTGGCTCAAGTCTACTTGTTCAAAAAATTGGTTTCGATGTTTATACCGATATTGAGCTGATTATTCCTGCTTTATCTGTCCCCCCTAGGATATAGCTGTTATGGTCCGTTTTTGGATTGTTACAGATCTTTGTTCCCACAGTGTTTACAAATCTACACCCTGGCCTGGTATTTGATTATCAGTTTATTGAAGTCTTAATATCAAATGGTTAGTGCTATGGCGGTTCCTTGGAACGTCCCTACCCTAAACACTAACCTTAACCCTTACCTTAAGCGTTTAAAGTCTCAACTTCCATGGGGTGACGTCAGAGTTGGACGTCCCAAGGATTCGATTAACAAGGTCAAATATCAAATACACTGAGCTATTATTATCTTTATAGGCTATTTATACCAAACGCCTACTTCTAAACTATATTAAGACGGTTATGCAATGCACCACAGAAGAGGGCATAGATTGTACATGCGTTTATATAGCATACTCGTCATGATGGTTATTTGAATCTGTCAACACTGTATGGTTTAAATACAGTAAAATCTTATGCCACTTGCATACATTAATAATAAATTGCATGCCATAAGAAAGGCAGCCTAGGCTACATACGCTAACATTACATACCAATAATTTTTGCTTTGTTTAGATACATTGTAAGAGTGTTATTGCTCTATTTAGATAAGGCTAAATAATAATAATTTGCAATGTCTCACGTTTTACTGTCCTGACGATGTCCTTTCTGGAAAAAAAGCATCCTTATCCCGATTTGTCCTTTCTCCGGGGGGGTGATGTAGGCCTTTCCTTCTGATGGATCAACAAATTTTCCATGCAGCGTTGTTCTTTTATGGAGCAAATTGTTTTCTACCAATCAAATGATACCGTAGGCTAGGCTACTTGTAGAAGAGATGTTTCGCGGGGCTGGCATTGCATATGCGAATAATATACCACTATCTCACACAACGAGCGCACAGGCGCATACATTTTTACGAAATCTGATCAATCTAATCAGCGTTTCGTCAGCAACACTAAAAAAGCATTTCCGGTTCTCGAAATAGTGAAAAAAATATAAATAAAAGTCCCCCACGTAATAGTAGAAAAGTGACAATATAATAACCTTTATTTATTCATGATATATGAAAATAATTGTTTAAACATTAACAAGGATTGATATTTGTTCATAGTTAAGTGACATTTGCATTAAAGTTGGGTTTTAAAACTTTCCAAGTTCAAATAAATGCCACCAATGCGAATCACTGCATATGGATTACATATTGGTTTATAGAGCAAAAACTATTCTGGGTGCGAAAGTAAAAGTATTGTAGGGAATACTCAGTAGGGTCTGTATAATGTATACATGGTGTCATTTCATGGGACTCTGAGTAACAGATCCCCATGAGTATGCTAATATTTGTGTAAACTCTTCAGAATTGTAATCTGTTTATGTCACTGAGTAGGCTGATACCCCATTTCATGGACACAAGCCCCATAGGTAAGGCTATACAATGTGTCAAAGTTGCGTCAATTCAAGTCTGGCATTAGGAACAAAAGAGGTCAACACGACTTCTAAGATATACTAGTTATTTTAATTAATGGAAAAACCTTCAATGGTAAATATGATGTTTCGTATATACGGGCTCTCTGAAATACCTCGCAGGGCACCCCAGAGAACTAATCCATTGTTACAGATTCAATACTCAAATACTCTGACAGAGAGAGTTTCCCACCTCTCTGCTGACCAATTAGAGTAGAGACTTGAGCGTGGTTTAGACTTACTCAGCCAATCCGTTGATGCACCCCTGTTGCCAGGCATATGTCCATATCATAACAACCTGTCATAGTGAGAAGAGCCAGCTCCCTTAGACACCATTCCTACGTCCAAGGAAGGTTCACAGATCACAAAGAACCAGTATATTCCAGCATCTGGAGACACAAATCCTTATCTCCCTTTACCCCCTAAAACAGCTCTTCACCTCAATCACAGCTTGCCAGGTGTCACAACCTACATTAGCCCAGTCAAGAATGCATTCTTTCTAAGTTAGTCATTCCATCAATTATAAACATAATAAATCTCTCACAAATGCAATATGAATGTCCATAAGCTATATGGTGAGGTGATTTCCCACATTTAAAGTGATTCTCTGTACTTTTGTATACTTTTTAGCCAGTAGTTCTGAAAGTAGTGCTCATGAGCCAAAAGTGGTCCACGAAAATGGAGTACTATGTCACATACTGAATGTGCAGATATGTACATCACTTCATTGCTCTCTCTCTCTCGCTCTACTGTGGGTGCACCATGTGCATCTTGCTAGCTGTCACTCATGTGGCGAGCAGCTGAAGCTTGGTTGAACTCAAATTGCTAAGGGCTTGTAGGTGGAAATGTAGGGAAAATGGCGCAGCACAGCTTCCAAAAAAATAGTTGCATTCAAACTAGGGATTCTGTGGCCGATTGAGGTAAGACATTAATTCTGCTCATAGATTATGCATGCATGAACTACACATTGACAAATCCAGCCCAAAGTGGGAGGTTGAAAAAATACTTAGTAGTCTCCAAAGTTACGGAGTATGTCTTTAAAGTTCCCTAATATGAGCTAGGATGCTAATATTTGTGTAAACTCAATATTCGTGGCTCATTTCACAGTGTTTTAGAGTCGCATAATAAGAGCTACAATGCTAATATTTGTGAAAACTCTTCACAGTTGTGTTCTGTGGGTGTCACTGAGTAGGCTGATAACCTATGGATGTTGGATCCATGACATGGGGTATGTTGTACATTGCAATATGAATGTTCAATATGCACAATAGGCTGAATAGTGAGGTGATTGTCCACAGTTAAAGGGGAACTGCACCACTGATTTGGCCTCATTTTTTGGCTTGCTCCTCAAGAAATGCTGGCTGCTGTGACAGAAGCCAAACCTGAGTTGGCTTGGGGGTGTGGTTTTCTGTGGGTATTTCTTGGATGTGTCCTTGCCACCACCAATACACACCCATCTGACAGAGCCTTTCCCGCAGCTGTTTCCCCCCAGTCAATCACAACAAACAAACCTCTTGCAGTTTGAGTTCAATAACTACAGCCAGAAGGAGGACGCGATGGGGTGAGGTTGTGTTTCTCTAAGCGGGAGGTAAGCTTGGCTTCTTCTTTATATGGTGTCGAGTAAAGCTTAAACCATGTATTTAGATTGTAGGTAGGTATTGTAGTTAGGTATTGTAGGTAGTTTATCTAGGTAGTTATTGTAGGTAATTATTGTAGGTAAGTATTGTATTCGGCTGAGCCCGGTGAAGCACGAGGCTAGCTAACTCACTACCTGGACCAATAAAGCTAGCTAGCTAGTGGGTAGCTACTGGTAACTATTAGCAACTGTGGATAGTTGTTTCCAATGTTATTTCACACTTACAGTGAGGGAAAAAAGTATTTGATCCCCTGCTGATTTTGTACGTTTGCCCACTGACAAAGACATGATCAGTCTATAATTTTAATGGTAGCTTTATTTGAACAGTGAGAGACAGAATAACAAAAAAATCCAGAAAAACACATGTCAAAAATGTTATAAATTAATTTGCATTTTAATGAGGGAAATAAGTATTTGACCCCTCTGCAAAACATGACTTAGTACTTGGTGGCAAAACCCTTGCTGGCAATCAGAGGTCATATGTTTCTTGTAGTTGGCCACCAGGTTTGCACACATCTCAGAAGGGATTTTGTTCCACTCCTCTTTGCAGATCTTCTCCAAGTCATTAAGGTTTCGAGGCTGACGTTTGGCAACTCGAACCTCAGCTCCCTCCACAGAACCTTCCCTCCCTCCACTGGCTAGGCCACTCCAGGACCTTAATGTGCTTATTCTTGAGCCACTCCTTTGTTGCCTTGGCCGTGTGTTTTGGGTCATTGTCATGCTGGAATACCCATCCACGACCCATTTTCAATGCCCTGGCTGAGAGAAGGAGGTTCTCACCCAAGATTTGACAGTACATGGCCCCGTCCATTGTCCCTTTGATGCGGTGAAGTTGTCCTGTCCCCTTAGCAGAAAAACACCCCCAAAGCATAATGTTTCCACCTCCATGTTTGACGGTGGGGATGGTGTTCTTGGGGTCATAGGCAGCATTCCTCCTCCTCCAAACATGGCGATTTGAGTTGATGCCAAAGAGCTCGATCTTGGTCTCATCTGACCACAACACTTTCACCCAGTTCTCCTCTGAATCATTCAGATGTTCATTGGCAAACTTCAGACGGGCCTGTATATGTGCTTTCTTGAGCAGGGGGACCTTGCGGGCGCTGCAGGATTTCAGTCCTTCACGGCGTAGTGTGTTACCAATTGTTTTCTTGGTGACTATGGTCCCAGCTGCCTTGAGATAATTGACAAGATCCTCCCGTGTAGTTCTGGGCTGATTCCTCACCGTTCTCATGATCATTGCAACTCCACGAGGTGAGATCTTGCATGGAGCCCCAGGCCGAGGGAGATTGACAGTTCTTTTGTGTTTCTTCCATTTGCAAATAATCGCACCAACTGTTGTCACCTTCTCACCAAGCTGCTTGTCGATTGGTCTTGTAGCCCATTCCAGCCTTGTGTAGGTCTACAATCTTGTCCCTGACATCCTTGGAGAGCTCTTTGGTCTTGGCCATGGTGGAGAGTTTGATATCTGATTGATTGATTGCTTCTGTGGACAGGTATCTTTTATACAGGTTACAAGCTGAGATTAGGAGCACTCCCTTTAAGAGTGTGCTCCTAATCTCAGCTCGTTACCTGTATAAAAGACACCTGTGAGGCAGAAATCTTTCTGATTGAGAGGGGGTCAAATACTTATTTCCCTCATTAAAATGCAAATCAATTTATAACATTTTTGACATGCGTTTTTCTGGATTTTTTTGTTATTCTGTCTCTCACTGTTCAAATAAACCTACCATTAAAATTATAGACTGATCATTTCTTTGTCAGTGGGCAAACGTACAAAATCAGCAGGGGATCAAATACTTTTTTCCCTCACTGTAAGAGTACCTGTAATTATGCCAGCTAGCTACCTACCATTCAGCTGTTTTTCTAACCTCATTATCTGAAGCATTAACGTTAGGTAGTTAGTAGCTACTGTACTCGAAATGTAGCTAGCTTGTTGCTACCTGGATAGCTAACTAAACAATACCTTGAACGAACTAGCTGTAATGTTTGAAGACGCTTTCTCTCCGTTGGGTCAGACGCGAACTGGCTAAATCGATTCAGGAGCTAGCTTTACACTTAACTAGCTAACAGTAGCTACTAAGGGTAAGTTATAACCTACATTTATTTTTATTTTATTTTTACATACTGGTAACCAGAGTCGTTCAAAAGGAATTCAAGACATGGGTGCTTGTTAACGTTAGCTTGGCTCTCTCTGTGTGTTTCATACCGTGTGAGGAGGGGTTGGTTCGTTGACAGAGAGCAATGGCTAGCTAATATACTAACTATTCTAGCTAGCTAACTCTGGCTGAATAAGTTGACGACGTACTCACTCAAACTGTCAAAACTAACCCCAAAACTTTACACGACGTTATACACGGACACGAATGATATGTTTAGCGTGTTAACGCACTATTGGTAGTTTGTTGTAACCGAGTATTGGTGCTAAACCGTGTTATTGGAAGCTAGCATGCTAGTTAGCTATGGCGTCATAGGATATGGTGCCCTGGGCGGTTTTCACTGAATTTTTTTTTTTTTTTTTTTACTTCACCTTTATTTAACCAGGTAAGCCAGTTGAGAACAAGTTCTCATTTACAACTGCGACCTGGCCAAGATAAAGCAAAGCAGTGCGATTAAAAACAACAACACAGAGTTACATATGGGGTAAAACAAAACATAAAGTCAAAAATACAACAGAAAATATATATACAGTGTGTGCAAATGTAGCAAGTTATGGAGGTAAGGCAATAAATAGGCTATAGTGCAAAATAATTACAATTAGTATTAACACTGGAATGATAGATGTGCAAGAGATTATGTGCAAATAGAGATACTGGGGTGCAAATGAGCAAAATAAATAACAATATAGGGATGAGG